CTTCTCTATATGATATTTACAAGAATTCATAAAAACAAAATTCTCTTGTATATCTAGTGTGTGGAGCGCAAGACACGTCACTTTACACCAACTTCTAGATTGGCTAGGTGAATTTTGTTTCGTATAGTACTTTCGCACAAACTTCAACTAACCGACACAATAAAAATAGCTGGACATAACTAAGAATAATTTAGGGAGGCTATCTCTTTAAAAATGTGACAATTTTCTGATAGTTATGTAAGACTTAAGAGGGAACCTTTCGACATGTAACCTTTCGATGTACATGGAACGATAAACCTCAGTAAGGAAGTAAATACCTTAAAAGGATTCGTGCGCATGACGCTTGAACATCCAGTTTTCTGGAAAATCAGTTTTTAAAAAAATAATCAACACCTTTAATGAGCATGATTGTAGCCCGCAAATTTGATTAATATGAGACATCATCCAGCTGAGGTAGAGTTGGGAGATCTCATTTTAATGAGAAATATGCGGGCTACAATCATGCTCCATTAAAAAAAAAGGTCTGGGCTTTTTTTAGAGTTTCTGAAAAACTGGTTTTCCAGGAAACCTGGTCGAGGTATGAGTACGAATCCTTTTAGAGTATTTACTACCTCGCTGAGGTCTATCGATCCATGCACAAATCATTGGAATCCGACGGTTATATCTCGAAACTTTCCCTCGTTAGAAGAGTTGTTTGGACAGTTGTTGTTCAGTTATTTGGTATAATTATTTGTTATGACAAAGGAATTTATTATTAAAGAAATTACTAAAAACATCAACAAATAGATCGTCGAAATGAAAATAGTCTTATTTTCTAATTATCGACAACTAATTTCTGTAGTTGTTGAATATAAGCAATCGCTCCACTAACAATATCCATTCTTGACATTCTTCGTCGTTTTTTACCAACTTGTATTGGTAATAAATCTTTCAAATGGTCAAATGCTTCATTTAATGTTTCCATCCGTTTTCGTTCACGTTTATTCGCCGTGTGACGTTGATCAAGAGTTAATTTTGAATATTTTGTTCTTTTGATTGACGATGAACTTGAATTATCGTAGTCACTCAAACATTGTGTTGAACTCAAAATTGATGGATACAAACAGGATTGAGGTGTTGAAAAATAACAAGCCTAAAATAAGACAACAGTTGTTCTAATAAGACAACTGTCTGTTGTTTTAGGTAGCACGTGGTCTGGATTCCGGACTTTCTAAGTATGTAAAACTATCCGCATCAAATGATCACTACCAACTGAATCATGCTGTTCTCTAACCACATCTCATTACCACGCAATCAATAAATAGAATATTGTAGGTCTCCACAAAGATATATTTTCCTACCTTTCGATCGTTTTGTAAAAATATGGGTGATAAACACTGTTCACAACTTGTGTGTAGACTATCATAGCCAGATGAAAATGAGGACGATGTATTGAATAGAGGATTAATTTCTTCTGGTAATGACGTGAATGGTAGATAATAAGAATAAATCTGTGAAGATTGAAAATGGACCGGAGAAGGATAAAATAGTTGATTTTGAAATGGTTGTAGACTCATTGTTAGTGTTCAGTGCTCGATAGAAATTGGGAAAGTGAGTAGGAATAGGACAGAACATTTTTATTTATAGGAGTATGTTCATTTCTCGATTATATCATCATTCTTATTCACAGTTGAAAGCATTTTTTTGATAATTGATGAGAAATTATGCTGTTATATAGAAATTTTAATCAATTTTTGACAATTTCTCAATTATGAAGAATAAAGCTAAATAAAAGACGAGTAAGTTTTAAATATCTGTTTTTTCTCAGAGATGCTAAAAGTTTCTCTCGAGTGACCCGAAGGGACTCAGTAATTGGTAGATTCGACACATCCGTAAGTTATTCTGACGCAGACAGTATTATCCATTTTGTCCTCTAATTTCTACTTCCATTACTTTGTTTTTTATAGAAAGTGGTAGATTAAAAATTTATTTCATTTATGAGTTGAATGATATTTAAGGCGAAATGTTGTTCGAAGAATTTCGTTACCAAGGCAGAGGCAAGGTGATGCTTATTTCTGAACAAGAATGAACTGAAATTTGAAATTTATAAACAAATCTGCCCTCTAAAGGTACTTGAAAAAGCTCTGAAAGGTATACCCAGTGCGGGAAAAATAACCCAAAATAGGTTTAACGATTTACAGAAAACCTATAGAGGGCATAACGATTTGAACGTTATAAATAGCTAAGGCAGAAAGCTCAGGTTTTCAGAAGTTCTCAACATCGTACATTTTTGTGTTAAAACTAACTTTTTGTTTTCTAAAAGATGACTAAACTGTCTTCTGTTAAATGTTTGAGGATTTATCATGTCACAACAATACCAACAGGTATTTTAAATTTGCAAAACAACGGCTAAATGACGAGTTGTAGGTATTCTGAATAACCCAAACGGGTGTTTCGTTAAACGTGAAAAGGTTTAGAACGTATTTCTATGACTGAAATGGTTGTATCGGTTTTTGTTTTTCTTGAAAATACTTTTTTGTATAAGAGCGTCATTCTGTTATGTCCCTAGTCATTTTCATCAATCTTAGCGGAAAGTAATTGTCTGGGAGTGTATTCTCCCTTTCAAAACTGCTCTTTTTAACACATTCAATGCCGGACGTTTCAAATAAAGGATTTATTCTCAGCGTCAGGCATTTTTGCTGTCCGGAAAGTGTGTTGAAGTGAATGACATACAATCGAATTGTTTGACGAAATACAGAACTCTTTGAGCGAACGCGTAAAAACGACGTAACCTACGATGTTTGTACAAGAATTTCATATGATCTTACAGTAAGATTCTTTGACCTGGGAAAGTGTAACTTTCCTGTGCTGACTGCTAAAGTTACTTTGACTGCGTAGGATATTAGAGAGGACAGTTCTCTGGAAAATGAGGTGTTGAAATAGAATACACGACAAAACCGTCAGACGTTACCATCCTTTTCCTGAACGCCAGTTTCTACGTAAAACTTGATTTTGCTAAAAACACGAGTTTTTGAAACAACACTCTTATAGTAAATTGATGAATTTTATTAGTTCTCGTAGTTTAAAAATAATTCAGGAAAGTCTGTTTTGTAGAGTAAAGCCTCCTCTATAATCTGAGATGAAAATGAACGTTTAATCTTTCAATTGAGGCCGTTGTTGTCTAAATCAAAAAAATATACAAGATATTTTTCTTTTCAAACTAAATTTTTCTGTATTTGAAGAAGTCGTTCACTGGTCAGATCAAAAGTGACAGAAAATTTTCGAACACAGTTTAAAAGCGTTCTAAATGTAAACTCTAAATAACTCTTTTTGTTTTTCCTAAGACGTTTTTAAACACAAGAAAAATGTATCTTAAAAATATATCTTGATGATAAATTAGCTCGCAATGGAATTGAAGAATTTCAATACAGAAAACAAGAGATGAACCACCTTTATAATCCTGCAAATAGACTGTTTTCTGTTAGAGACGTTTCTTCGTTCAAAAGACATCATGAGTCAAATATGACAGACGATGGCTGATTCAAAATAAAAGATAAAATACAAAATCGATAAATACAACTTTTTTTTTCACAATATATGACGACTGAATGCGTTCTATACGAAACAAAATTCACCTAGCCAATCTAGAAGTTGGTGTAAAGTGACGTGTCTTGCGCTCCACACACTAGATATACAAGAGAATTTTGTTTTTATGAATTCTTGTAAATATCATATAGAGAAG